GTTTGGTTTGGTTTGGTTTGGTTTTTTTCTCTCTTACTGGAAAAATACTATTTCAGTTTTTTTTTTGTTTTTTTTTCATGTTAACGGTTTACCAATTTAGAAAAAAAGTACAAATAATAAAAGTATAAAAGAAATGATAGAAATGACTTTCAATAAAATATATTAAAAAAAAAAAAAAACGTTTTGTTATAGGCTGCATGTTCTTTACCAAGCTGAAAGCGTATTGTATTTAAGTTAAAAACTCGTGGTTCGTGTTTGATCAAACACTTGCACTCGTTTTTTTTCTAATACGTAAATAATGTCTGCATAGTGATAACTTACAACGGATAAATGAGCAGACAAGTTTAGTAAATAATCACATTTTGTTATCTTTCATTGTTTCAACAGGTTGACATTCTTCTCAAAAAGTGTGAAGTCTGCCAGGCTGTTATAGATGGTGTTTGTTTCATGAGGAATAGAGGGATTAAAGATAAAGACATCCATGAAGAACTCTACCCACAATATACATTGAAGGAGATTAAAAGCATCAAATGCTCCTAATCTAAAGGTATTACTTGAGGGTAGGGTGTGTCAGGGGGTTGGGTGGGGGGTAAATTTCTTGAAAACCATTTCAATCCCCCACCCCCCACCCCTACCCCCTCCCACTTTTCTCAAAATGGAGCATTCACTTATTTACTTTTTTTTCTTCTTCTTACAGTTGAGTGGTGATGCCGGAGAGATGATGCTGAAATATAGGTTCCTGGATCTATAAACCGTCGAATGGTTCCATCCATATATATATCATAATTATTTCAATGAATTGCATGCGTATTTCAAATAAATAAAAGTCTTCACTCATCTTTACTGACCTGTTCATTTTGATAATAGACTGGGGTTTTAAATTAAGTCACAGCGACTATGTTGGTGTACCAAAACAATACATTTTCTATCCTCGGGGAATTGAATCAGACAATCAGATCAGACAATGTTGGCAATACCTTGTTTGGTATCCAAAGATAAAATGAAGAAGTAAAAAACAGAAAAAGATAGAAGCTTGAAGACGTTCAAGGTAAATTTTAAACATTTTTTCGTAAGTCAATACATTTTCTGAAAGACCAAAACTCTTGATGATCTGTACACGCAAAAATAACTTGGAATAAACTGATAATCAGTATTGTACAGATAAAAGCAGGTATAGTATAAATTCAATTAAGAAACCTTTCAATTTGGGACAGTTTTTTGATTGGTTACCCCCCAAAGACGCAAGGCATTATGGGAATGTGAAAGTATAGAATACATTACAAACGGAATTTTTGTGCTTTATATTTTCTGTTGAAGGTCATGCTTCATACTCCAAGACTGGAAGCAGACATAAGTTTGTGGTTTGGAGATTACTTTTTTTCAGGCCGACGTTTTTTTATTAGGTGTTTATTGCAACAACAACCAACAACTTTCAAATCAAAACCGTCAAACTGTATAGAAGCCTGAAACATCCCATGGGCTGATCTGTAAGTCGAAGAATAGCTATTAAACTTGCAAATCGAACCCTGAAACAACATTTTTAGATGCACCGATTTACTATCTGGTGATTATGGATGACTCCAATGTAGACCAAACAATCCCTACAGGTTGATAAATAAATAATTGTCTATTCGCCTTAGAACGGTTTTACATAACTACTGCGAGAACCTCTTCCTTTGTGAGTACCAAGATAATGGCATTAATGAGTAAAACAAAATAAACTACGAAAGAATATATGGAATTAGTGCAAGACTTCATAAGGCGAAATGGGAATTCGAAGAGACAAACAAATATTAATAATAATATAAATTTATACATCAATCAATTAATTATTTTCAAATTAAAAAAAAAAGATTGAATAAATGGATATATTAAAAAACAGCTAAACATAATTAAATACGAAAAAGAAAAGAAAAAGAAAAAGAAAAAGAAAAGAAAAAAAA